CAGCCCGCCGAGTTTGGGGAAAGTTTGGCGAGGTTTGTCTTGCCAACGGCGGACGTCCCAAAGGCCGGGCTGCCCTGAGGAGGCGGCCAGGAGCCCCCCGGAGTTCCGGGAGCCGGCTCGGCGGGGGCCCGAGGGCTGAAAGGCGGCAGAAGGTGGGGAGAAGGAGGCCTTTTGTGTGTGGCACAGGAGAGTCACTTGCGCACAAACGCAACAGCGCGCTCCGCCGCCGCCTCAGCCTCCGCCGCTGCACCTCCGCCTCCGAGGCGCTTCATTACAGCCGAGCCCTTCCCCCGCCTCCCCCCCGGCCCCTGCCTTTGTTCGGCTTGAAAGTAATGCTGTGAATTAAAAGAAATGACAATATTTTCTATCTGCTTGAAAGTCCAAGAGAAGAGCCCTTGAGCTTGGCAAAAATCAGGCAAATCATTCATCATGCCACCCCGCACCTGTGGTCTTGGCATTGAAAACCCTCCAGACCTATTCCTATTAAACTTAATTATTCCCCCAAAGCACACAATGGTTGAAATGGAGCAGGTTGGAGTCTGTTTATTGGTGGTAAATGTTTTTCTGAAGATCTTCTGAATCTCATTGTTAGCTCGTTGTTTGAGGCTGCCCTCTTTCTTTCAGACTAGAGTAGCCTTGGACTTTTCAATTTTCAATCGTAACATCTGCTTAATCGTACGGATCAAAATATGGAGACACAAAACATATGTAATGGTTGATTTGTTAAATCCTGGTAATGAGTTATTAACAAGGGAAAACAATAGGCCAGGATGGTGAGAGCCTTATGGTAACAGAGTCACTTTATGTAACGCCTGACGTTTCCCTTCTTGATAAATGGAACTAAGGTCTGAGCGCCAGGTGATAGCAAGAAAATCAATGTCTTTGGGGCCAGCACGGAGACTTTTTTCTATGTGAAAAATTAGAAGACATAAAATTTAATTGGCTGATCAGGAGGGGGGGAAACAGTGGTCTTAAGTTTAATTGCCAGTAGGCTTAGCAAGGGAGACAAAACAAGATTTGGGCCTGTTTGTTTGCTGCACCCCAGCCTCAAGTCCAAGTGTATCATTGAAAATGTGTTTTATTATAACACATGTCATGCTTTACAGTTCCCATATTGTGTAAAGACAATAGTTAATGGTACATTAAAGACAGGCAAACCATGCCAACACGTCTTGGAGACATTGTAAGGGCCTCTCTCTTTGCTTGTTTTAGGCAGCTGCAGCCCAGGACCCAGAAGCACAAAAAGAACAAGTTTGAACTACCAGGTGCATCCTAGAGAACCACGACAGGGATTGATATGTTATAGCCCAGGACATGAACCTAGCAATAAAGATATCATTTCGATTGTCTGCGGCTTCCACGGCCTGTAAAGCCGGGAGGCCCTGAGCAGCCTGCTTTCTGGCAGCCCCGTCTCACTCCCTGGGTTTCCCCATCTCCCTGGGCCAAATCTGAACACCTGTTGGCCAGACCCCACAACCCGTCGTGGGAATCGCTTCCTACCAGTGGTTCCAGATCTCAAAAACGCAATTGGTTGTGGAATTATTTAGGACCATTCCCACAGGCTGCAGAAGGCTTTGGAATGGCAGTGGGAGGGAGGGTGAGGGCTCTTCCCAGAGAGGTTCGCCAGGGAGTGCTCAACTGGTGTTTGTTCAACCTCGCAGCTGGTACTCGGTGCCACCGCAAAGGCCCATTAATGGAAATGGGATGAGTTTATGGATTTAAGAAGCTTCACACCCTCTCCATGGCGGGGCGTTAATCCTGGTCCTGGCAGATGAGCAGTCCTGGGAATCACCCACAGCCGATTTCACAGGAGTTCCAGCGAGGCTCTTTGTGCGCTCTGCTCCCACCCTGAAGGGGGGTGGGGGGGAGTGGGGGGGTGGGGAGAGAATTGCTGTCTTTCCCACCTACTTTTTCCTGCCTTACAGGACCTCCAAGTTCCAAAATTCAACTTTTTACAAGGGCTTTTAATTAAGTCATAGTGTCTCCTCCACGGAAAGGAAGAGGCTCCACAAGGGGGCTCCATCCAGAGGCCACGGGGCTCGGCTCCAGATGGGGAAGTGGCTCCCCTCTCCTCTTCTGGCCTCCCTCGACCTCCCCTCAGGAGCCACCCCACCCCCACCTCACGCCAGAACCAAGACTTTTCCGATGAAAAACAAAAGGGAAGAAGTATGATGCCTCAGGTTTCCAGCCTCCGAAAAGAGAAAGCCATCTTTTTGTGATATGTAATATCTTTTAAGGCAATGATGAGTAGGACTCTGACCCTAATGCCCACCGGAAATGTAGGGGAGAGAGAGGGATGAGCAGAAGGGGCTTTTACTGAGGAGACCCATTGGCACCCTGACGCCACTGAGGTGCAGCCTAGGACGGAGACCAGCAGGATAGACTGGCACTGAGGATATAGATTTGGTGGGAGGGGGCAAAGTGTTGGGGAAGGGAGGGCCCCTCACCCAAACTCAGTCTCAGAAGACTTCAGCAAACCCTCTCCAGTACTCCGTCCTCCCACAGTTAGTCCCTAGCGGCGGAGTCTAGATCACTGGGGAAAGACTTAGCCAGCTCGGCAGAGCTCCTCGAATGTACCCAGTTCTGGGTTTGCAGCCTCTTTATTATGCTAAATGGACTAAGGCAGCCAGTGAGGACTTGAACCTCTTTCCCCTGGTGGTCCCAGGCTGGGATTCAACCTGGGGCTGGTGGGTGCTCAGAAGAGCGAGGCTGAGCACAGGGTCTCCATAGCCATCCAGGAGTCTGGCTTATTCAATTATTTTCATACGGAATTTTTTTTTTTTTTAATGGGAAGAAACGTGAGGACTTCGCAGGACCGCTGAATACCTGTCACTCAAAGTGCCCCCACACTGATCTTTCCAGTGCCAGGCTGTATTTACTGGCCAGAGCTGCCCCAGGCCGGAGGCTCTCCAGCCTGGCTCGGCCACAGGGAGAACCGCTAATGCACCAAGCGCAGCTCAGGCCTATGACGCCAAAGGAGACTCTGAAATGTTTGTTCTGCTTTTACTGCCGCAGGTTTTTTTTTTTTTTTTTTAAAGAATTGCTACACTAGAATGAATGGATTATGAGTAAATAAAAAGAAGCTGTCAGTCTCTTTGAAGGCTGTGTTTAAAGGGACTTGCCAAGTCAGGACAGAAGAGTGACAAGATAGAGACCCTGGTGTTTTACACGCTCAGCCCCGCTCTTCCGCTTCATCTGCACCGCACTAAAGGATGTGTTGAGGCATTGAATCACCAAAAAAAAAAAGTGGCACGCAAAATAAAAGGTGCCACATCACAATGATTGTAGTGTTTTAACGGCGGAGTGCCACAGTACCCAACCCAATTGAAACGCAGGTCTACACAGACGAAGAATTCGGTACAATCCTTACATAAGTTATAATTAAGTTGAAGTCTGCCTAACATTTGACTTTCTAATGAGTGTAATGAGATTACATGCCTGATAGAAGCATTTGTGCCAAAGCAACTTCCATGTTTAATGGGGCACTCTTACAGGACAAAATCGAATTATTTTCTCTCCTTCCCAAATTCTGTCTCCAGTGTGAAATCTCCATCTTTCAGGGGGAAGAGCCGGGAGAAGCTGCGAAGGCTTTAAGAGGTGAGGGTCCACGGCCAAGGGCCTCCTGGGAGCTGCTCGACCCAGAATCTCCGCGTGTCTGGCCTGACCGCGCTTCGGGGTCGGGCTCGCGGCCTCGCTTTAATTGCACTTGGACGAGGTCCATGGCACCCGCGGCGCGCGAGGAACCCCTCGGTGGGTCTGAAACTAGGTTAAAGCAATTAGCATGCTGCAGACATATTGTCCTGCGGCAGGGCCGTGGGTACCGGGGGAGACTCGCGACCGTACCTTGGCTTACCAAGCCGCTCGCCTTGGCCGGGCCTGCGCGGCGCGGGGGCGGTGACTGAGCTAGAAGGTGCGCGCCAAGCGCGCGCGCGGGGCCTCCGGCCCACAGCCGAGGGCGCCCCGGGAGCCCAGGAGGCGCCGGGCAGCCTCGCGGGAGACCCGCCCGCAGCCCGGGTTTCCAGAGCTTTCCGGGTGATCGCCCCGGGCCGCGCCCTCGCGCCTCTCCCCTTCGCTAGGGGGCGGCCCTGCTCCCTCCTCGCGAGGCTCGCCTTCTCCCCAGGCTGCTTGCCAAGGAAGACGAGATTCTGTTGGAGACAAAACGAAGTTAATTTTAAAAAACAACTCATTTGCACAAGTGGCTCCTTGCCTTCCCGAAAGGACCCCGGATTTTGTTGGGAGGCATCCGAGGGGTCTCCCGGCCTCAGCACAGTCGTCGACCCCATCTCCTTTGACACGACTGCTCTGAGATCCACATACCTGATGCTGAAACTACAGAAGGGATGGGCCACAGGGCTAGCTCAAGAGCTGCCCTTTCTCCCCAGCCCCTCCGTGGAAGCACGATGGCCCCCCTCCCTTGGCCAGCCCCGGAAACTAGTCCCCTGTTCCCACTGCTCCCAACTCACCTCAAGCAGTATGCTTAGACAGGGTAGGGGTGACCTTGGGTAATTCAAATATTCGTCTCTGGGCCCTAGCTTTCCCCCCTGAAAAATGGGAATAATAAATACACCATGACCTATTTGCCTCATAGGGTGTTTGGAGGATAGGATAAAAATACAGACCAAAGTTACTATTTAAGGCAGGGAATGCAGATGAAGGGCCCTCTTAGAGACTTGGGGCCTAACCGCCTAACCCACCCACTTTCAGCTAAATCGAACTAAAATGTGGTTTCTTACTAGATAACTACATTTCGCGCGTCTGGTTCAGTTATCTTTTACAGACTAAGTTAATTCTTCTTTAAAAAAAAAAACAACAACTACCCCCATCATGTAGTAAACAAAAAACTTTTAGAAAAAGGTGTAAATAGCATTTATTAACATCGCTTAGAAATAAACCATATCTGGCAATAAATTAGCATGACGTTTTCTGGCCAGAGTTCTTCCAACAACGCAGAGTTCTGCCAAAGGTGCTGGGGGAAATCATAGGCTATTGCATATTTTTAGAAAATCAGGATAAATTATATAAATTATATACTTAAAAAGAGATCGTCTATTTCATTAACTTGACAGGATAATAAATAGATAAATAACAGTTGATTGCCATTAGAAAAATGTGATTCTTAAATTATATTATAGATATTTACATGTACAATATGCACAGAGACATAATCAGATCCTCAGGAGGGTCTGGGACTTCTCAGGACACAAACTCAAAGGGCGGTTCGTTTTCTATGTTGTTGAAGGAAGATTTGCTGTTGAGTTTTCTGGGGTCCTCTGGGGTCCACACTTTGGCTGTTCGGATAATATTTTGTTCTTTGAGTTGCTTTTCATCAGTCCATGAGAGGGAGTGTCCTGCAAGGGGAGGGAGGCCATAATCCGGGTCGCTGGGGGAGGGGGACCCTGAGGAGGTGAGAAGAGAAAACAGACCGTGAACGTCCAACTCTATTCCCAGCGGTGCCCTCTGGTCCTTTAGGATCCCCTCCTGGGCGCCTCGACAGAACAGGCGTCTTAGGTTACATTAAAACGAACCCTCTTCCTCCACCCCCAGCCCCCCAGCGCCCCCTCCCCCGAATCCCCGGAGCTGCAAGTCCGTCGCGGACGCACGCCCGCCCAGCCGCGGTCAAGTGGCGGAAAACACCTGCGAAACGCCAACTCGTGTTCACGGTCGCCGGTGCCCACGGACCATCTGTCCGTCCGTCAGTTGGCTTGTGCGTCCGCTCACCCAGCCCCTCCGGGAACCTTCCCGTGCCCGCCCCGTCTCCCTGAGCTGGACTGCGGACGCACTTACGGGTGCCCCGGTGGCAGATGATGACCTTCTGGGCCTGGCTGCCCGGGCTATCCCCGCCCAGGCGCCCGCCGCC